TCGAGCTAAAGAAATTGGTTGCTGGGAAAAATACCGCAATCCTCTAACGGAGTACAACAAAGCTATCAGAGAATCGTGGAGGAAGTTCTATCGGAGTATATCAGATTTACCTGCAAGTACCAAACTTCACAAGATTCTCGCCAAAAATCCGAGACAGGAAGTAGGCTCGATAAAAAGACCCGACAACACCCATACGAACTCTGGCCGAAAAGCTTTAAAGATTCTTTTACAGAAACCCTTTCCAGACAGTCGAATCCTGGAGGACAGGCAACATGTACCCCTTCCTTTAAGGGAATCGATCATACGACCCAAAAAGGAGGACTGATACTTTGTTGCACAAATTGTCTTTTCAAACGCCGTGAAATAGATACCGTAGATACCTACCTACCTACCGAACTCTTATCGTCCAATCTGCCTAACATCCTTTCTTCTAAAAACACTAGAGATGATTCTAGATAGGCACATTAGAGAAGGAGGCCTTCGGGCAAGCCCGTTAAACTCCTTCCAATATGCTTACCAAGCAGGCAAATCGACAGATCATGGCCAGTACAATCTAGTAGACACAATCGGTCATTCCCTGAATTATGGGGAGATTGCGCTAGGTGCTTTCCTAGAAGACGCGTTCAATAATGCCCTTCCTCAGTCTTTGTTCGCTTCTATTAAAAGAAGAGGAATCAACAAACTAACTTGTAATTGGATCAGAAGCATGCTGGCAAACCCCGAACATCACTTCATCACTGCAGGGAGAGACGGTCGTTTTCAGACCTACCAGAGAATGTCCACAAGGCGGCGTACTTTCACCCTTACTGTGGACCATTCTGGTGAATAACCTGTTAGACGATCTCTCTTGGCAGGGAGTGGATTTCCAATGCTATGCGGACAATCTGGTTATCATAATTAGGGATAAGTTCGAAGAGATGATCTCCAATATACCTTAACAAGCCCTTAATACGATCAACAGATGGTGCGAGAGGGAGCAGATGTCTGTTAACCCCGCAAAACTGTTATCGTCCCCTATACCAAGAGAAGAAAACTCGACAAGCTTCGACAACGTATCTCGGCTGGGGAAACCATTCCATTTGCGAAGGAGGAGGAAGTGAAATATCTGGGGATCACCCTAGATAAGAAATTCACCTGGAACTCCCAATTGAATAAAACCATTAACAAATCCAGACTATCCCTCTGGACTTTTAAAAGAATATGCGGCAAATCATGGGGAATCAGTCCTTAACTGATCTACTAGATTTACCAAACAGTGATAAAACCCATGGTTACGTACGGCTCTGTCGTCTGGTGGAACAAGGTACTTTAACGGACACCCAGAGCAAAGCTGACTGGAATACGGAGACTTACGTGCCTCGCAATGTCAACCACACCTACTGGAGCCATGGAGACCATGCTGGACCTAACCCCTCTCCACATTTTGCTGGAAAGGGAGGCCAAGGTGGTGTCCTACAGACTCCTGAAGGTGGTTAGTCAATGCTACGAAGAACTGCGATGGGACAAGACGGAGCTGATGAGTGGAATTAATAACCACTACATCTTTGGCATGGTCTTGGACTCGCTAATTCCCCGACAGTACAAAGAAAAGCCATACAGCTTCCAGATCATTCCAGAGAGAGAGACGCATGGAGCATAGGGGAAAAAACCTTCTTCCAGGCAGACTATGCGTCGTACAGGGACGGCTCCAAAACTGAAAAAGGAATAGGAGTGGGAGTTTTCGGCCAGAGGCCTAGAGTTGACATATCAATAAATCTAGGCTCTCTGGCCACGCTCTTCCAAGCAGAAATGGTTGCTATAGAATTGTGAACGAGAGAGTTGATTAATTTTCTCCCCGCAAACAAAGATCTGTTCACATAGCCAGACAGCCATCAAGGCCCTGAGCTCCAATCGAGTTGACTCAGCTGGTTTGGAACTGTATAAATAAGCTTGAATATCTCGGTGCCCGGAACAAAGTTACTTTGATCCGGGTTCCGGGACAGAGTGGTGTGGAGAACAACGTAAAAGCCGACGGCTTACTTACTAAAAGAGAAACCGAATCTATGTTCATAGGACCACAACCATTCCTGGGCATTGCAAAGATCACTGCCAAAGGAATTATCTCAAAATGGATGGAGGGTGCAACACTCACGAACTGGAGAAATACCCTAGGGCTAACTCATTCGGAGGCGTTTATAACCAACCCTTTTATGAACGCCTCTGCACAGATTCAAGATTGGAGTAGGAAAGATTTACGCATTTTCACTGGACCGATGACAGAACACTGCCGTCTGTGCAACCGCATGGGAAGGATAGGTCTGTAACAAACATTATCGATTCTGCAGCATGGAGGACGAGTCTCCAGAGCACATTTTATGTACCTGCTCCGCTCTGGAAAGAACCAGGAGTGGCACTCTGTATCAAATTGCAATGAAGAGAACGAAAGAGAAAGGGAAGATAAAAAATCTCCTCTCTATTTTTCCGTATCGAAATTTGTACTCTGTAGCAATTTCTTTATTTTATTCGGTGTGAATCGGGAGTTTCCGTCGCGAAGAGAAATTTCTAAAATAACGAACTACTCGTCCTAAAACTGTTGGCTTGACTTCTATTTGACACATTAAATAAAAAAGAAAGAATTTTAACTAACCCAATTTTTTAAATAAATTTGGATGTTTTGAACGTGGAATTTCTTAAAATAGTATTACTCTATTACCTAATTATTCTGGATCAAAGTTCATTTTCGACTGCTTTTTAATATTTTTATTTACCGCTAATTCAAAGCAGACCCTGTGTTCAAAGGCAAGTGGAGAAAATAAAAGTGATTTTAGATTATACCAGTAATTTGACTTTCTATTTAATAATAATAATAGTTATATTTTAACTTTCAGATGAATCTTGTCATAAGATATGTGATGCAAGAAGCCCAAAATGTCAACAAAATAAGAATATTTTCTCTTTATTTTTATTAATATTGTGATTAATTACAATCCGACAATCCACATAAAAAAAGTAAACTTAAAATGTCAAAACAAAACTGCCAAATCAAGTTCTTAATGTAAACAAAGAAAGAGTTATACCCCTTCCATACATTAAAGCGAGACATATTCTTAAGCGACGAGGTCTTAGCGATCTTTTTCCTAGTGACAATCGTACATGTTCGGTTCAATCGTAAGTAGTCGAAGAGAGTTACAGAGTAGAAAAACTTCAAAAGAAGTCGGGATAGAGAAAAGATATCTTGCCTTTCTCATATTTCTAGTTACAGAGTGCCGCTCCAGGAGTGGCACTCCGTATCAAATTGCAATGAAGAGAACGAAAGAGAAAGGGAAGAGAAAAAATCTCCTCTCTTTTTTTCCGTATCGAAATTTGTACTCTGTAGCAATTTCTTTATTTAATTCGGAGTGAATCGGGAGTTTCCGTCGCGAAGAGAAATTTCTTAAATAACGAACTACTTGTCCTAAAACTGTTGGCTTCACTTCTATTTGGCACATTAAATAAAAAAAGAAACCCAATTTTTTACATAAATTTGGATTTGTTTTGAACGTGGAATTTCTTAAAATAGTATTACGCCATTGATTATTCTGGATCAAAGTTCATTTTCGACTGCTTGTTAATATTTTTATTTACCACTAATTCAAAGCAGACCCTGTGTTCAAAAGTGAAGAAAATAAAAGGGATTTCAGATTATACCAGTAATTTGACATTTTATTTAATGAAAACAAGTTGATAATTTATGTAATTTGTGTATAATAGTTATATTTTAACTTTAAGATGAATCCTGTCATAAGACATGTGATGCAAGAAGCCCAAAATGATCAACAAAAATATGAACTATGCATTGCTAAGAGGGTGATGAGGGATGCAAGTGATCCATTCGGCATTCCTGATGTTAGATTCAAAGAATTATTTAGACTAATAAATAAAGATTTAGTTCAAAATTTGTTTATTGACTAATTACAAACTGACAATCCACATAAAAATAAAGTAAACTTAAAATGACAAAACAAAACTGCCAAATCAAGTTCTTAATATAAACAAAGAAAGAGTTATTCTCCTTCCATACATAAAAGCGAGTCATATTCTTAAGCGACGAGGTCTTAGCGATCTCTTTCCCAGTGATAATCGTACATGTTCGGTTTAATCGTAAGTAGTCGAAGAGAGTTGCAGAGTAGAAAAACGTCAAAAGAAGTCGGGATAGAGAAAAGATCTCTTGCCTTTCTTTTATTTCTAGTTACGGAGTGCCGCTCTAGGTTCCATATCTTCGGATTTACTCGACTGGAGCCTACCGACTTTAAACAAGTCTCACCCAATTCAACCATGGCCTTCATCAAAAGGTGTGACTTGTACAGTGAACTATAAATTAGTCATGAGCCACAATAGACCCATCATGGTCGCAGTGGAAGGCGATGAGATCATCCCACTCATTTTCAACCTAACCTAACCTAGTAATAATGTTGTTTTGGTCTGTATTTTCCATTCTAAATCAGTACAAAATAATTAAAACACAATACACGACCAAATAACCCATTTTTTAAACACTTAAATAATTTTAATAAGCAATAAAAACACACTACATGTCGTTGAGAATAAATAATGAATATGCTGTTCTATTTATCAATAAAATGATACATATGCAACTAACAATATAAGAAAGTAATTTTGGTTGCCTAGATGTCAGTATTGTTTTACCGAAACACAATTTTATAATCTAGTCAACATTTTAAAAAATATTGTATGTAACACGTTACGAAATGCCATTTTATGTAACTCGTTCATGTTGCGGGACCTCGCTCTGCTCATCCCCCAAATATTTACTCATTGCATAAAATAAGACATTATTTCGTAACTGGTTGCATAAATAGCTATTAGATAATTATTTTGTAGATAAACAAAATAAAGAAAACAAGAATCGGTAATTTGTTATAGCTTCTTAGGATGTGGGTAAAGAAAAATGTTTTATTTATTTACAAAATATTTATTATTGATTTTAAATAAAATAAATTGTTTAAATTAATTTTAATTCTTCTGTCCTTATTTAATGTGTCTTACGTAATTAAAAATCTGGTAATTGTAGTTTAATTAATAAAACAAAGTCGCCTTAGGCTTTGACATTAAATTACTCAATTTTTAACACATATGAGATTAGTTTAAAAATAAGGACAGGAGAATTATAGGTATATCTACGCTATTCTCGTATTAAGAGGATTGACTATTTTTCCCGCCATTAAAGCAACATGGTATTCGCTGTCCATCACGAAATACAAAAAGGGGTGGATTACATTGATGTCAATCGGATATTCTTTCGTGTACTCTCCTGAAATCAAATAAAAATACATTTATTTAATCAGTTTTTTAAATTTCAAAAATTGGATAAATACAATAACATTGTATCTTTGCGAAATCAGTAAATGTAATTTAGATTATAGTTGTTTATGCAACAAGTGTGTAAAGTTACTCTTTTTTGACGAATATGAATGTAAATGTTGACGATCACATGAGTTAAAAAAGGGACTTTACACACGAGTTGCATACAATATTTGTTCTACTACCATACTCATTATCCACTAATATTAGAAATATAAAAGTTACTTTTTTTACTAAAGTAACTTTTTTCACTTTACGCAGTAGTAAAAAAGGTACAACTTCACGCACGGTAGTAGAAAAAATTGTTTTCACACTTTTGACACAGCATGATATAGGCAAAGGTTTTCAGTAAGGGGATAAAAATAGTAACTCGCAATTCTAGTGTTATCTTCAATATTAGAACTTTTTATTTATTTTGTAGGGAGGGAGAAGCTAACAAATAGTGGTTTTAGAACTGGTTTATTTTATACAGAGTGTTGTGAAACATGTCTTTAATATGGTTAAATTTAAGTTCAATTTGATCGATAGCTATTATATTATTGGAAATACGAAAACAAAACTAATATAAAATTTGTATGACCATAGAAGTTCTTAAATAAACAGGGTGGTTCATAAACGAAGGGCTGACCAAACTTATACAATTTTAAAGCAAAACGCCCATATTTGATTATTTGATTGTTTTCACATTGTCAAACAATTTTAATAGACTTTGTTTATTTGCTATCTTGTATATAGGGTGTGTCAAAATGCGAGGTAACGATTTTCTCAATTTTTTTAATGGAATCTCCTATATGTTATACCACCAATTAATTAATACAGGGTATTTAATTTAGAAAATTGAGTAAATCGTAACCTTACATTTTCACACACCCTATATACAACATAGCAAATTAATGAAGTCAATTAAAATTGTTTGACGATGTGAAAACAATCAAATAAATTTAAAATTAATATGTCAAAATTGAAGTTAGCAAAGCTGGACGATTTAGAGTCTAGAAAAATATTATTATGAAATTAGGACTAGGAGAGTATAAAAGGACGACCAGAGTAGAGAAAAGAACAGCAGGAGGTAAGAGACTAGGAGAATATAAAAAGGAAGACCAAAGTTAAAATAAGAATCAACATCAGGAGCAGAGCAGCCAGGGTAAAGAAATAGAAGATTTTTTTTTAATTTAACTGATTTTTAATTATTTTTATTTTTTTATACAAAATTAATTTTTCTAGATTTTGAACCCGCCAAGTTTGAGATTTGGTAGTTTTTAGAATATTTTTTGGAAATCCATATACTGGGTGTTTGCAGCATCTCTATAAATGTTTAGAGGATAAACTAAATATATACATTGTCCACATACATCTACCTCGAAACATTTTTCTATAGATATTCATTGAAAACGAAAATACTGAAAAATTTAAATTTAGCACTTTTCCTACAATTTTTCCATTACGGTCCATTTTAGAAAAATCATGTATAAACGAAAAGTATAGAGATCGATATCGCAAACAACTTTTAGTTCAA